GCGCGTGGCAGGGGGTGGAGCTGGAGGAGCCTTTAGGTCCCTTCCAACCCAAACCAGGCTGTGACTCTATGAAACACCCATGGGCTGGGGGGGGACACTGGGGACACCACTGTACCTCTCTGTAGGTCGTCCTTGGCCCGCTCCAGCCTCAGTACAGCCTCTAAGTGCATTTTGTTCTTTGCTTCCAGGCTCTCCTGAGCCTCCTTCCGCTGCTGCATGTGGGTGTCCCTCTCTACCTGCAGCAGCCGGGACAGGTCCTCAACCTGTCTCTGCAGCTTCTCCTTCTGCTTACCCGACTCCTGCAGCTCAGCCCGCAATGGCTGGACCCGCTGCAGCAGCACCTGGAGGTGTTTGCTGATCCGGGCCAGGTCCTTGCTCTGCTCCGAGGCCCAGTAGCTCACGTCCGTGGCAGAGAGGGTCCTGCTCCCTGCCGTGTTCCTCAGCACCCCCTGGAACCTGCTGAGGGCCGAGGGGATGTTCTGGCTCTGGCAGATGCTGGTGATGGCTTTGCCGACCTCGTAGAGGCTGCCCTGGATGCTGGTGCAGGTGGCACAGGGTCCCGGGGACGTCTCGGTTGGCTGCCCGGGGGCGCTGTGGGCAGCCCTGGGTGCGGAGCTGCCCGGGTCACCGCTGGCTGGTGTGAGCGCTCCCGATGGCAGGCACAGGGAAGTGGACGGGGCAATATCTCGAGAAGATTTTAACTCCAGAACATCGGGCAAGTGGCGTTTCGGGGGCTCCTTCTCTGGGGTCCCAGCCTGCGGACTGGAGGGCAGCGTGGGGTTCTCCTGCCTGGAAGCCGCCTTCTGGTGGAGGGAGCACAGAACAAAACCAGGGCTCAGAGCAAACCGAGCTGGCTGCAGGTGATCCGTAAGAGCCCAGACAGAGAGGTGTGAAGTGTGGGGACAGGACACCAGTGCAGCCAAGGGGCAGTGAGCCCAGAGCTTGGAGGAGGACAGCCACCAAGCACTTGGATTCACTGACTGTGGTGCTCCATCACAACCAAAGCACATGGATAACAGGCAAAACGAATTCACTTCCCCCTCCCAGATGCAGGACGAGGAGGAATTGGGGAATTGCATTTTCCCAGCTGTCTGGCAGCTTCCCAGCCTTGGCAGAGCTGTGGTTTCACAGCAGGGAGCTCAGCAAAGAAACCTGCTCCCCTTCTTGAGACTGGCCCTTCTTTCACACCTCCTGAGACTCCTGCCTGTGCCAGAGGAGTGATTGTGGGGGTTTTCCATGAGCAGAATCATGGTTTGGTGGTTAGAGGAGGTAGGGGACAGTGTGGGGCAGATGTGGTTTGACACATGGATCAGTGCTCAGAGGGTCATGAGCTGGGAGCACATCTGGTGCGGCCACCATGTGTGTCACGAGGGACCCCAGAGAAGGACCTCAGCACAGTCCCAGTCATGGAGGGGGGTGCAAGAACCATCTCTTGGAGGGTGTCAGGGCCCCCACATGTCCCACCTCGGCCAGAAGCTGCTGGTAGAAGGCTCCCAGTTTGAGCATGCAGCACCAGTACCTCCTCACGGTCAGCCCCGCAGACATGCCGGGTGCCACGGCCCGCGCCGGCGGCCCCGCTCGGTTGG